TGGGTGGCGGGACGCGAGAGCGGCCGGCCAAAACGTGGCCGGCCTCCATTGCTGTCGCGAACCAACGGAGGGAGAGAGGGACGCGCGCGGGAGAGAGAGAGAGAGAGTGATGGGGGCAATTCCATCTTTTAACCAAAAATCCATCTTCCAAATATTTACGATAATGCCACTGAGCTTCTTTTGACCATATATCTCTCGTTACAACTCCGATTTGAGCCCACTACGTGTCTACGGACTCATCTCACCGTGCTCTACGCAACGGTACAACCGGAATTCCCAAATTCCTTCCAGGTAAGAAAATGACTAAAATACCCCTATCCCACGGGTAATTTCTCAATTCCACTTAAATTAATTAAACATGGGATAAAATTTGGGGTCGGGGTGTTACAGGAGGGCCGTGGTTGTAGGCGACACTATCTATGCCTTATATGGGGAGACAAAGATTATAGCATTCTCCTTTAGTATGGGCAAAGGTGATTATGATGGTATTGCATATTCCCTAAGCCAACTTTTTATATCGCAAGGCCTTGAGTTCGCACGTCCGGAGCTACCATGGTTTAATGATATAACACAATATTTGGTTCATTTGAAGAATCATGACTTTTTCCATGTCCAGACTGGATGGTGCGATTCACGTCTCAAGGTTCAATATCTTACTATCACCACGTTTCAAATTGTTGTTGGAGAAGGAGGAAGATGTATGATCAAAACCATACATTCAAGTGTTCATTCTGTGGATATCAAGGGCTCTGAATGGTTTGAACTTCTTTTCTGCTTTTCACCGTAAGTTTCCTTCACGTTTCTTGTGTTTTCACCAATAACATTTTATTTTATTGTGTTTTGTATGTAACAAGGTTTCTCATGATTTTGACTCAGTGAGTGCGGGGATTATGAACCCATAAAAGAGGAGAGTGTGACTTGTATGAATCAGTCAAAACAAGAAGAAATAACCGCCAGGAAGCTGGAAATAGAAGCCATGCAGCATGACGAAGCTAATGATGTCCCAATCGGTTATTAGGAATTGTGAAATATGAAAATTCAAACTTAGTTTAGGTCATTTTAATTTGTGTTTGTTGACTTCCGCTTATTTGAATGTTATATTTATTATAATTGTGGTACTGTGCTCATGTTTTGTGGATTATTTTTCCTCAAGCTGGGACGTGGTTCTATTTTGCTTTTTTTGGGTATTATATCTTGATCCCTTATGGCTTGCTCCTTGTTCTAAACTTAATTTGGTGGATTTTTAGGCCTATTTCTTTGCTTTTCTCTTTGCACTTCTATGGTCATTTTAATTTACATTTGTTAACTTTTTGTGATTTGATTCTTCTTAAACTAAATTTTTCAGAAATTTTTTTTTACCGCAACTTTGTCAAACGATGGGAAATACATTCTCCATTCAGGGTGGCTTTTTAAACAATTGCTTTCAATTTTAAAAAAGAAGAAGCAAATACTCTATCACACTAGGCTGTTCAAAAATATGACGAGGATGGTTATAGTACGCAACAGTTTTCTAGTGGATTTCGTCTTCTTCATTTTTGTTTCCCATTTGCATCGCTGTTTTTTTATATATATTATATAATATAAAATATTTATCTTGCTATGTTGATTGTATACCTTTGGCTCATTCATTAATTCTCTCTAGGTCTGGAAGTTTTTTGGAAAGATTAATTTGACTTGTTTTGTATATCTCTCTTCTCTGTCCAGCTTGCCCATGGTTGAGAATGCATCAACGACGGTAAATCAAGGGGAAGATAGATCTTTGTTTTTAATGGTAACTTTCACAGGGGGCAACACTGCTGCCGTATATGAAGTTAAATTCAAATTTGGAGGAGAAGTTGAAGATATGGGCGGAGGAGGACCACTTGAACCAGTAGCCACGTTCAGTTCTTCTTCCTATTTGGGTGCAAGGATTTTTGACCGCTCTCAACTGTATGTGTTTTCAGAGGAGGGTTGGGATAAACCTTGCGTTAGGTCATTTGGAGGGTATATCTTTGATACGAAAACTAGGGCATTAGATCGCTTAACACCTTCTATCGTACAGTTTAAGCAGCATGGAACAGTTGTGTCGGCATATGGCACACTTTATTTTCTTGAAGCCAAAACGGACTTCGTACAAGGCCCAGCCGTATTCTTTGGGAAATACAACCCTGATAAGAAGGATTGGGTGCAAATGCCTTCGTTTCCATTTTCTCATAGTTTTCGTATGGGGGTAATTGGTTATGCCGTTGGTTTTGGCGTTATTTTGTATATATTGTCTGACTTGCACGGAAACTTTGATGTCCTTGCTTTTCATGTGGGTAGAAAGAATTGGAAACGAGTGGAAATTGGCACTTGTACTCCTTTCCGAGGGAGGGCCGTGATTGTAGGCAAGACTATCTATGCCTTACATATGTTTCAGGTGGGGGCGATCATAGCATACTCCTTGGAGATTAAAGAAGATGATGAGGGTGGTATTGAATATTCACTAGTCCAGCTATTTGAATTAAACGGCCTTGACATTGCAGATCCGGCATCACAATTTGATGGACTTGTAACCGACCATTTGGTTCATCTGGGAAACCAAGACTTCGTTCATTTTAAGACTGGCACTAACGAAGAATGTGATAAGGTGCAAGATCTTTGTATCACCACGTTTCAAATTGTTCAAGAAGGAAGAAGACAAATGATCGAGACCTTACATTCAACTGTTCTTCCTGTGAAAATCGTTGCTTGTAATTGGTTCACACTTACGCTCGGCTTTACTCCGTAAGTTTTCTTCACATTTCTCGTGTTTTCATCAATAACATTAATCTATACGTTGGATTTTATTGTTTACGATGATTACGACTCTCAGAGAATGCGGGGATTATGAACCCGAAGAAGGTAAGAGTGCAGCCAGCATGAAGCAACCAAAACAAGAAGATGACACCACTTTGGATGAGAATTCTTTGATGCATGAGGTAAAAGAAATGTGTTTACATGAAATTGATTTTTTTTTCTTTCTTTAATGACCATGAATCAAGAGACTCAATTGTTTGCATGCCTATAAGTGTTTTTATTAGCATTTGGATCTAGTTTCTCACATAATATAATTGGGTTTTGCAGGAAGAAGCCAAACATGAAGTAGCCTTAATGCATCATGAAAAAGGAAACCAGAAAAAACCCAAGAATGCAAGCGGAATAATTAAAAACAAAAGAAAAAGAAAAAGCGGATGGAAGGAGGGATTACATGTAACCAAAAAGAAGAAGTGGGATTACAGGTAGACTGTAATCTTGACTCTTTGATTAGATAGTATGGAGGCATTTTACTGCCATCTTGGCCCCCTTATTGGTTGTTATCTTTTTTTCACAGTTGATATTGCTATCTTTTGTTTTTGTTAAGGATATTTGAATTAATGATCCAATTTATGTTAAGGATTCAATTTAATTAATCAAACTTTCTTTATCATGAGTGATATGATACATCTCATTTGATCTCTCTAGTTCTATTTTCTTTTAAAACATTCACAAAACTAGTGCGAAAATAAGACATGGTATGTGATGTGTGTTGCCTTTTGCGTTGCATAGAAGAATGAAGATGTATGCACAGGTTTCATCTTGGCTACTCAAGAAAATGACATTATAAAAAGTTCATACGTATGTCTCCCAAGTCCTCCCAACCAATAAGCCTTTGTTGTAATAAAAGGGACCAGTACTTATTTGCAAATGAGGATTATTTGACTAAAAGACAGCCCATGAC